CCAGCATTCTGAACCAGTTATCTACCTTTTCAGGGACGTAGGAACTTAGCCAAATATCTATAACTGCACGTTACCTCTAAAATGAGACTTAAGATTTTGGCATTGTCGGCACTGTCTCAGAGAAGAAAATGAAGAACAGTAGCAAGGGCAAAGACATATCTGGCTAGAAAACTCCGCAGTTAATGAGAAACCTTTAGAAACTTCTCCTTGAATCCTGACATGGATCTTGCATTCGTCACCTCCGGAACTAAAGCGATTTGCTTGTATATTCCAGAGCATTTAAGAATTTTCGTAATCTTCGAATGATGTAAAGAGTAAAATGCAGCATCAACTGATCCTCTTCAAATATATGGACAATTATTCCGTACTTTAATTTTTCTAGGAAACGTCTATATTGGATGAAAGAGGGCATAGAGATTTTCTGTCATTCCCGTTCCTCCAGAGTTCCTCCGGCAAAATTTGATTCAGCGCTAAGGCTTTCTTCACCTTCAGCTGGAAAGGCTGCTTGGATTTCTAGTTTGTAGGTGAATCTCTACCAACCTCCAATATTGGCAGAGAGCTAATGGTCGGCCCTGAAAAATTTTCAGGGTAGCAGTTATGCAGCTGCTGCAAATGCTGAATCTGTCTTTTGACACGTTCCTTCTGACCTGCCAATTTGACCCCTTTACCATCCTGGATAAGGACAGACAGAATTCCCTGCTTACCGAAGTTGCCGCAGACTTTTAAGTACCGTTTGCCAGTCACTATTTGAATTTGCCATACCGATCTTCTTGCGTTCTCCTACTGGCCAAAATTCCGTCTCGACTGTTAATCCGGTTGATTGCACGAATGAGAAGCCGATGAGCTCTGTTCGAGGGTGCAGTCCGGTGGATGCAAGTGCTGCTTATTTGCATGATTCCTTTTTAAAGACGTGGGACTTGTTCCTAACCCAGAGCAGTTTAATTATTTTTTTCAGGTTTTAACTACGTTTTTCACCGAGGATGAAATATATATATATATATATTCCATTGTCGGAAGCGTTTTATTCTCCTTGGAACTTATACAGTAGGTATTCTCCAGATTCACTGTTGGTATGATACGCAATAGTGGGTATGTACTCTATATGCTACCGCCATGTGCTACGGTATCTGTACCTAATCCTGTAGATAAAGTATGTTACTGTATATACATTTATTATATAGTACCTAGTACATATAGATATTGTATGTTGCGTGTTGAATGTGATCCTTATAGTACATGCATATAGCTCCGTGCTGCATGAAGTTTGCGTTGTATGAAACATGTTGTATGTATTGATTTGTGTCCGAATGCACTCTGTTTTCCTTGCAGACCAATGCAACTAGTCTTTGCCCGTGGTTTATGGAAATACGGCGTCGTGAGAAGTGCACCTTAGTTTTGCTGGGATTAGTGTATAAGCTGGTCTGCAGTCCTTTCACTGGT